ATCAATAAATATATACACACATATATATATATGCAGATTCAATATAACAAAGAACATTAATGATAATATAATAATAGGCCGAAAAAAAAGAAATAAATGAATCAATTAAAAGTCTAAAGCAAAACGCAGAAAAACTCCAACAAAAAATCAACACAGAAATAGAAAAACTTCAAGAAAACAACGAGAAAAAACATGAAGAAAAACTTGAGAAAATCAGAAACGCAGAACAAGAACGTGAGGTACAATCTAAAAGACTTGACGAATTCAAAATAAAAATCGAAGAACTCGAGTCCAAATCGGAACAATATGAAAGGAAAAAATCATTGGCCGAACAACAAAAACAACAAGCATCTGAAGAGATTGGACAACATGAACTTCTGTTAAATCAATTGAATGATCAGAAGGCTAATAACATGATTGTTTATGGGAATTCTATTCCTGCTGTTCTTCGAGATATTGATCGGGAGACTCGATGGAGAAAAAAACCAATTGGTCCGCTTGGGTTATATGTCACATTGTCAAAACCAAATTGGAGCGAAGTTTTAGAATCGGTAATTGGGAGGACTTTAAATGCTTTTGCCGTACGAAACTATCAAGATCGATCGTTATTATCAGATATTTTGCAACGACATAATTGGTATATAACATTTATTTTTTATTTTGCTGAAATAATTAAAGTTTAGTAGCGTCTTTATATACCAATTACTTACTATTTATATTATCCCCCTATATATTATATTAAAGTGCTTCGCCAATCATTATCAGCGAAGATGATGAGTATGATCATACTGCTGGTGAACCAGACGAAAGATTTCTTGGGTCTTTATCATTACTTCGTTGTTGAAGTGTTTGATCATCAATTTGAACCTAATTAATATTCATCATGTATGTACGTGCGATATAAGTACGTGCACAAGAAAAAAACTATTCTAATTATAATTACTAACTTTTATATTTAAGAGTTTATCATTATGATTAAACATTATTTTTCCAGAATAGCCACGTTTTGATAATTGATAAGTAAATTGCATTCTAGCACGAACTGAAATAAAAGACAAAAAACTACGCCATTTGTATAGTCGTTTTTTAAGGGTAGCACCCAGTTCCTATATTTATAAACTTGCATTAATAATAATATATTAATCATTGCTATTGTAATCATTGTCATTAGTATTACTTTAGAAAAACAATCCATATGATCAATTTCACTTTTTGCTTGATGATAGGCATCTCGTTTAGTTGAAATTTCCAACATGACTTGTTCAATAGTTGTTCCACATCTAAACCAACAATACACGAATATAATTGAATTTTAATTTTCAACAAAACATATTATAACGATAGGT